GTTGTTTGTGCATCTTTTTCTTCCACACTTTTTCCTTCCATTCAACTTTCTGTTAACATGCTTGGATACAGCACTCTGTGAACAGCCAGCTTCTTTGGTAATGAATGTTTGTGGCTTACCCTCCTTGTGAAGGGTGTCAATGATTGTCTTCTGGACAACTGTCAGATCAGCAGTCTTCCCCATGATTGTGTAGCCTAGTGAACCAAACTGAGAGACCATTTTGAAGGCTCAGGAAACCTTTGCAGGTGTTTTGAGTTGATTAGCTGATTGGCATGTCACCATATTCTAATTTCTTGAGATAGTGAATTGGTGGGTTTTTGTTAAATGTGAGCCAAAATCATCACAATTAAAAGAACCAAAGACTTAAACTACTTCAGTCTGTGTGCATTGAATTGATTTAATACACGAGTTTCACAATTTGAGTTGAATTACTGAAATAAATGAACTTTTCCACGACATTCTAATTTATTGAGATGCACCTGTATGTATATAAATCTATATAACTTGAAGCATTTGTTAAACATTTCCAACGTTGATTTAATATAGCGGGTCATGTTGTCACACTATATGGGGTAAGTTGTTACATTGGGATCCTGCTGTTTATTGGCACTGATGTGAAAAAAAATTCTTAGTTTGAATTATAAAATATTGTCTGAAGTAAAATAAAGTAATCTAGCACAACATCTGTATTTAATCTATATAAATTATGAATTTGTTTTAATGTTTAACCTTTGTCATCTTTATAGTATACTTTAATTCAATAGTTGCCAGTGTGGGTTTTATTGTGTACGATGAGATATGAAAATATCCTTACAAAAATCATATAAAAATATGAATTTTGGTTTCATAATTAAAAAAATATGACAAATTATCAAACTAAATATCTCAATGTAAGATATGTATTTCATATAAAGTCAACTGCATATCTAACAATTATTACAAATATAATTAAATGTGAAAATATGATGTCAAAAAGCATGAAAGTATAATTTTGACAATTCACAACAAAGCATTTGTATTTAATAATGTGTATTTAATATAAAGAAGTATGTGTCAGCTCCAGTATTTAATTTAATGTAATTTTATTTTTTTTATTTCAGTGGAGGTGGTGGAATTATATTATATATTATATATATATAATGTAAATTGTATAGTATAAATTATATAATATCAATTATTAAATTTTTATGTATTTATTTTTATATTATTTTAAATTCATCAGTGGGCGTAGTGCAATTATAAATAAGTTATTTATATATAATAAATATAATTTATAAATATAAATAAGTTATTTTATAAATAAGGAATTATTTAAATTATATAGTATTAATTAATAAAAAATATTTTATTTTATTATTTTATTTACATCAGTGAAGGCTGTGAAATTATAAATAATTTTATATCAATTATATATCAATTGTACAGTATAAATTATATAATATAAATATTTTTATTGTATTTTTATGTATTTTTATTTCATATTCATCAGTGGGTGGGGTGGAAAATAAGTTATAAATAAGTTTATTAACAAGTTTATTATTAAGCTAAACTACTGCTAGAAAGCAAGCATTCATATAATATATTCTAATATTAATGGAGCTGCAATTTTATAGCTCTGTATGATCAGCTATTGTCTCATTTGTGGCTACTATTTTTATGTAAATAAAGTCTCATCCTCTAAGTAATAAAAATTTTCTTTAAGAATGAATATGCTTCAAACTTGTGATTTCTTTCTTGTTGTTCTGTCTGTGCCTCAGACTGCAGGTTGGAGAGGACACTGAAGCTTCTCTTGAGGATCTGAGCGATTGTTCCTCAGACTCTATGGAAGTGTGCTGTGAGGATTTAGGTGAGTCTCTCTTAAAAATACTCCAATATTCATGACCGCAGGGTTTTCTCATACAGGACTGTAGATGGTAGTGAGAACAGGTCTGAGACTGTGGTCTGAGGGATGCTATGATTCAGATCGATCAAACTATAAGCAGATGCTGGTGTGGTAAATTATGATTGTATCCATGTGAGGACATTCATGTCTTTGCTGATGTATGTAAGTTTCCACCGTCTGAAGCTCTTTTCAGATTCTTGATGGACTCAGTCAGACCTCATGTAGACCTCAAATATTAGTGAAAACCTGTCAGCTCATGCTGGCCAGACATGCTAACGAACAGAGACCAATCCGCTGATTTGGGATTGTGTTTAGTACTTTGACAAAGTAGTGTTTTTTGTGGAAAATTGTTTTCGAGAAATGTGTTTAAGATGTTACATGCCTTGATAATGTGTGGAAAGATTTGCAATTTATAAAAGTAGCTGTTGCGACAGTTGTGTTTGCATATTTAACAGTGATTTTGTTGCTTTTAGGCATATTATATTTATATCTTTTTCAAAAACCATTCAAAAATTTAGAATTAATTCCATTTTAATTATTGTAATCTCAATGAATTAAAGTACAAATGCATATCATTAAATATATATTAAATATATATTTTAAACATACTATATATATATATATATATATTATTTGTTGTACTGAATTAAATGTAATTTTACTGCCTTTCTCTTTTTTTACTCTAATGAAAATGAAATGAGAGTAAATGTACAAAGAGTAATTACACAATGTATATATAAAGTATATATATATATATATATATATATACACACACACAATGTGTAGAAGAATGTGCAAACCCTTATTACAGATATTCTCAGATGTGCAACACCCCGTGAGTTTACAGACTGTGTTCACATGTTTCACATTAATATACCGCATAGAGACAAATACTTTTATGACTTTTGAGCGTAAGATTTATATTGTGTCACAAACAAACAAACAAACAAACAAACAGACAAGCACAGCCATATGTTGCCAGATACATCCGCACACAAACACTGAATGAAAGCCGGTCTGAGTAATATATCAGTGTGGTGTAATGGCTACAGATGCCAGCAACCCAAGGGATGTTCTCATGTCTGCAAACATCTGCGCTGCTGGCCAAGCACAGTCTCCGGATGGGATCCAGATGTTTGGAGAACCTTTGGCTTTCTCAGGAGAGAGGGCGGTGGACACATCAGGACGTGTGTTTCATACTTCGTGAAGAGAAAACGCTAATATGTGTCAGAATCCAGTGCTGTTTCATGTAAGTGTCGGATCAGAGTGATATGTTACGTGATATATACTGTAAGTATATCACAGAACAGATTTTTTTTAAACACCTTTTTCTTTAGACAGATGTGAAGTTGATTAGAGACTTTTGAGATCTCCTTATAATTCATCAGCATTATGAGTTTATCAGTAATATCTCAGTTATTTCTTTTAGACGTAATTGAGATTAATATAGTTTTCATATCTTTTTTTTATATATATATATTTTTAATATCTTACCCCCGGTTTCACAGGCAAGGCTTAAGCCTATAGTCTCAGACTAAAATGTAAGTCTTAGCTGTTTCAACTGAAAGAAACTTGCACTGACTGATCTTAAAATATATCAGTGCCTTTGTTTTGTCTCAAGATGCACACCAGTAATGTGTTTTTCTAAGCATGTTTATAAAAAATTACTTAAATGTCCTAGTTGAACTATGGCCTAATCCTGGCTTAGTCTAAGCCCTGTCTGTGAAACCGGGCCTTAGTTGTTGTTCTTAGAAATAATTCAGAGTAATTGGATAGGCTACTTATTTACTTTAAGATTAATAATTAATAATAAGATTAATTTGATCATTTATTGCATATAAATGATCAGTGAGTTTTGAAATGTTTTATTTGATATCTTTTTAATGCTTTAAGATATTTAATATCTTTATACTTTATATTTTATATCTTTATATCTCCATTGTTTAGGCCTAAATAAGCTCTTTTTTAGTATCTCTCTCGTTATTATTCTTCAACATAATTGAGATTAAATATATACTTTTCTGATCTTTTTAATGCCGCTCTCTCTCTCTCTCTTTTTTGGATATTTTAATATCAGTTGTTTCTTTTAAAAATGTTTTTCAGGGTCTTTTTTTGTTTGTTTTAATAATTTTTTTTTGCATCAAGAAAATGTTGTGTTTTATATGTCTTATTCTATTGCCAGATCCATCTTATTTTAACAAAACAAAAAAAACAAAAAAAAATTATTTATGCTGCAATTATTATTTTTTGCCATTTTTCTTTTCCTTTTTGTTTTGTATGGTGTGTTGGATTATTTGTAGAATGGAATAACTAAAATATTCTTAATGTTTAAACAAAATGATGATTATATTGCATTTTTGTATTATACTAAAAACAATGTACATTGCATTTGCGTTAATAGATTGCAAATAGATAGATGGATATGTTTTTGCCATTTTTGTGTTAGATTATTTGCAGAACTATAAAGCTAGTGTATACATTATTATATTATACCACTAAAGGCAATATAGATAGATAGATAGATAGATAGATAGATAGATAGATAGATAGATAGATAGATAGATAGATAGATAGATGTACAGTATGACATTTGTGTATTGGTAAATTGTCCTATGCATATGCAATGCATTTCTCCTGAAGGCAGATAGTGAATACATAACTGAGATTTTAATGGGTATTCAGCATTGGATCCTGGAAGGGGGAGGGGCGAAACAATGGGGATGGAGAAATAGTGTGTGTGAAAATACACACTACGATGTACTGGATTCAGTTTACATTCTAGTGTTGCAATTTGTCATCTCCCCCTATCAGCTCACACTTTCTGCTGAGGCAGAGAGACGCACCGGAAAATGCAACCGAGAGAGAGAGAAAGGGGGGAGGGACTGTTGTTGCGTGCAGCACTGCTGTCATTTGGCTGCTGCACGGCTCAGCGGCAAGACAGCCTGGTGAAGGGAGGAGAGAAAACGAGGGAGTGAGAGAAAGAGGAGAGAGAGAAAGAGGAGAGAGAAAAGGAGAACCAGGGCGGCAGCTTCTGCAGCCTGACAGGAAGGAAAGGGAAAAAATAAAGGGTGCACGGAATTAGCATTTTCTTCCTGTGCAAGAGAGAAAGAGCCGCGGTAGCATGTGCATTGTTGTGCATCCGCCGTCTCTCGCACTTGTGGGCTAGAAATTGTGCTCAGATTATTCCCCTTGGCGTGTGTCCGATGATTGAATGACAGAATGCTCGGGGGCGTTGCTGATCTGCTTTTCGACGCCTGTCTGGTGCCGTGTGCTGGTGTTGCCGCTCTGCTCTCATCTGTAATGAGGTAATGGCTGCTATATCAGGGACACAGGTGGTACGAGAAAAGGAAGAGGCCGTGGAATACATAAAGGGAGCATAATGAATTCGGTTTGTAGTTTGTCATCAGCCTCCTTTGACTGCTGATGAATGTTGTTGTCGAACACATGAACAAAAGCATGCATGATTACCTGTGACCTGTCACACTGGATGAAATGCACCTAGGCTTTCTAAGGGATACTTAGCAGTTTTATGCATACTGTGGAATTTGATATAATATATACATATATAATTGGATCTGGATCCTGTTTGTTATGTCCATGGCATTAATCAGGATGTAAGTTTGTTGCATTTAAAACAAATATTGTTTGTGCTGTCTTCTAAACACAGCATGCTCTGCATTCGTGCATCAGTCCTCAAATGAATTACCTCTATTTCAACCATGTCCAGACCTCATATGTTTAAACAACCAATTTGGGCCTGAATTCTTGCAGTTGTTTGCGTGGAAACCTAGATCCTTCTTCTCCTTGCATGGCAATGCACAGTATAATTCGGTGGTGGGATTAAAAGCTAATGAGAGTAAACGAATGACCTGGATTAAACTCCTTATTAAAATGCTCTCCGTAGCTCTTGCTTAAGAATCCATACAGGATTCCGATCGGAATTATAATTTGAAAAACAATCCTGCAGGATCCTGCAGGGAATAAAAAGTAAGAACCAAGAATAAAAATGGAACTTCTGTTGGAATAGTTCTAGCAGCACTGCATTTCTATTAGGATGCTTTTGGGACTCCAAATTTTAATTAATTTAATTTTTTTTTTAATATTTTTCATTTTGGTTTGGTTTAATTCATAATTTGGTTCTGAATTATAGCAGAAAATCCGATAGGAATATATATATTTTTTTAGCATGCTTTTATATAGACAGCGTATAATTACGAGCAACACCAGAGTGGTTGCGGAGCTCTTCTCCTCTAAATTTAGAAGAAAAACAAAGTGCTACAGGGAATCTTTTTCATGCAGGATCTTTTAATCACAAGGTCTCTGTTAAGAATAATCTGTTGAATCTCTATATCAAAGCACGTTCTTTTTTATAATCATAATTACACAGAGTTCATGCTCATTTGTTCTGCATAATAAACTGCTGCATAATAGACTTCCTTATGAGTTGTATGTGGCACATAACATCTGCACACCACTTTTGGTCTCAAGACTGAATTCGCACTCAGAATGGAGCATTGCTTTCCTCTGTGCATTCATAGTTACTATTGTACTGCACAGCTGGACGTGGGTCTAAATCTCTAGGGGGACGGAAATGCTTAAAATATGTATGAGGCACAATAGTTTGAGTTGAGGGACAGTTAAGCTAGGGCCAAATTTGGCCTCTTTGTGCCAGTCTGGAAATAAACCTGAATATGTATAGCAAGTTATGAGGACGATATGAGCTTTTATGAGGCCACTCTAATCATGTTGGTTTCCTTGACTGTGCTGTGGGTATTTAAGTGGCTGATATCCATATCAATATCTAGAGGGAAGGGTGACTGATAACTGATTATATACTATTATAAATATACTTTTTATTTGTTCCTTCTTTTACTTGATTTCTAAGTAATATATTTTGGGTATGGTTCAACCTCAAGTTGTTCTAAACCTGGAATTTTGAAGAATTTTGGTAACCAAACAGTTGATGGTAGCCATTGGCTTTCATAGTATGGAAAAAATACTATGGAAGTCAGTGGCTACTGTCAGCTGTTTGGTTGAGGGTGAGTAAATGATGACAAAATTGTTCTTTTTGGGTGAACTATCTCTTTAAAAAATAACTTGCGAATCAGCACTGCATAAGATACTAATTTTGGTTTTCACAGAGTATATCTGTAATTTCGTTTTACAGCACTGATTTCACTTGTTTTTCAGTATGAACAGATTAAAAACAAGTGGAAATACACATATTAAAGATTCAATTGTTGTCTTATCTTATGCAGCATTGATTCAAGTAAGTCTTGTTTTAAGGTTTTTTTAGATGCTTTATCTGGAAATGTCAAAAATACTGTATCATTTTTGCAGTGTATACACATTTACTATACATTCACTCAAAAATACTTGTAAAAAAATATATGTATTATATATTGACAAAACTGCTAATAGAATTGATCTGAATTTACTACTGGAATTTATTTTGTTTTACCTTAGAATTTACTATTTTAATTGGTTATATTTATGTTATGCATAATATTAAAATGTATTAAACTGCACTTGGTGCAGTGTTGCTTCTTGTGACCCACAAAATCTACACATGAAGCTGTGTTCCAGTTTGCCCTTGCAGATCAAAGCATATGGAGAAAAAGAGCATGTATTACATTTTAATCTCCCATGCAGCCAATGGCAGAGCTGGAGATTGCATTGGAGCAAGGCACACCACTATGTTTATTTGTGCGCAGGTAGCAATGCGTAATATGAGGGTGTTTATAATATATGCATAATGCATGTAAATTAATCAATGTATCAATTTAAAATGTATTTTGTGCTTGCTCTTTATTTGACCATTATGGTAGAAATTAACGTTTTTAGAAGGTCAGGACACAACACAGGTGAAGCTGGTTGATTTGCAATAGTTATGTACATACTTTACAATGAAAACTAATGAAATGCTGTCATCTTGTCGTCTGATTCACTAATTCCACCATGCAAGTCTGTCTAGTGATGTAATTAGTTAGAGCATCTGTAAATTGTCTCATGGGAATGTAGTTGATTGACATGAGTTATCTGCTGTCCAGTAATGCTTGTAAACCACCTCTCTCTCTCGCTGTCTGTAAAGCAGTCCAGTCGTTAATAATGTCAGGCCAGGCGTCGTGCCTAACTGCACCATGGGATTGATTGGGCATGCTGTTGACATGCTGACCGCTCGCCCATGCAGGTTTTCAAGAGATTGTGTGGCAGTTTACAACTGTTTGAACAGAAAACATTTGTTTATTTGGACGAAAGAAGACTTTCATCCTTAGTTCTTCTCATTGTCAGTGTAGGCGATGTGATATGAGGCTGTCTGGTTCTCGTAATCTCATGGTTGGCGTTTGGCTCGTTCAGTGCTGCCTCCGAGGTTAATGTCCAAGACTGTTAGCTTTCAGCAAAGCCAGGTGATTGATCAGGTCGAGCTGTTTTTCACCTTTGTGACGTAAATGAAAGGCTGTTGGCTATTTAAAACCAAAAGACAAACTCTTTGAAATGTCAGCTTCATGATTCAACAGGAAGTACAAACTGGTCTTTAATGGCGCATAAAGTTCTCAATCTGATTGGGAACTTTTGCCATCTTTGACTATTTGAAGAAATTTTGGTGTAGAATCCTACAGTATGTTTTTCAAAGATACTAATTGTGTGCTTAAGTTAAGTAAACTATTTTATGTTCAGTTTTTTTTTACAATATTAATACACTACTGTTAAAAAAGGGTGAGGTCGGTATGATTTTTAAAGAATTTTATTTGATCAAAAATACAGTAAAAACTGTAAAATTGTGAAATATTATTACGATTTAAATGAACTGTTTTCTGTTTGAATATATTTTAAAATGTAATTTATTCCTGTGATGCAAATCTGAATTTTCAGCATCATTCCTCCAGTCTTCAGTGTCACATGATCCTTCAGAAATCCATCTAATATGCTGATTTGCTGCTCAAGAAACATTTCTACATATTTATTTTCAGGATTCTTTGATGAATAGAAAATTCAAAAGAATAGCATTTATTTGAAATATGCATCATTACTAAATAAAAGTATTAAGTTCTTTAAAAAACAAAAATACTGACTCCAAACTTTTGAACTGTAGTGTGTGTGTATACAGGTGCATCTCAATAAATTAGAATGTCATGGAAAAGTTCATTTATTTCAGTAATTCAACTCAAATTGATACATGCATTTATAAGACATAAACTGAAAATAACTGGTATAAAATAACATAAAATGGGAAAAATTGGTGCAGATATTTAGTTTTGCTTACTTACTGTACATTGCATATTGATTGTCCGCTATGTGTGCAGATCCCGAGTCTCAAAGGAAACGGACGGTTCAGAATGTCCTGGATCTCAGACAGAACCTGGAGGAAACCATGTCCAGCCTGCGAGGGACTCAGCTCAGCCAGAGGTGAGTGAGAACCAGTACGTGTTAATGGCATGAAAAATCACAACCAGACTAATTCACGAGGATGCGAACTGCTGCTTTTCAATGAATCGTAAATCTGGGAGAAAGCTCCACAATGTTCTTTGAAAACAATCTTCACGCACATTTGTGTCACAAAAAGCATGAATATAAACAAGGTTTTGCATTATACACAAACGATTACTTTTTCCACAACCATTCAGCCTCCCACGTCTTTTGGGAGAGTTGCCGCTTCAGTCGTTCAGACACCTGGCTGCCACATTCACACATACACAATGAAACACTTTCCATCAATGAATAACAACAAACACACACAGAAATCAGCTGGACTCCAGGCTTTGCAAAGTCAGATATACAGCAATACACAACTGGACTTTTACGTTTTCTGAAAAAATCTTTCTGAAAAATTTCTTTCTCTTTGTTTTGCGAGGTTACCAGGTTGCTCTGAGTGATTTTTAGAATGTTTCTATGTGGTTGCTTAAACTTAAGCTGATCATTTTTTATTGTGTATGTATACAGTATATCTCATAGACATATAAATAAAAAAATGTTTGAGCAAGTTACAGAATAAGCTAGATGCTATGCTACTTCCCGATGAACAGATTTTCCTTCCCCACAGGTGTGCTACAGTACGCTAGATGTGCTTAGCCTAGCAATTATGCTAACTTTGATCTTAGTACCTTCCTGAATTTTGCCCCTAGAGATCTCAACCTGTCCTTCCTCCTAACATCAAACCTTTCCCTGCAGGCTAACCATTCACTGCTCTACTAAGTTTCAGAGCAGAAGACTTTTGTAGTAGACATATAACACGCTTGAGACCTGCAGCTTCATTTTAATAGCAGCACTTGTATAAGACTGATGAGCTTCCAAAGACTTGATGGTGCAGGCGTAAAAATGATTCATACCAGATTAACCGCACTCAACCCACAGATTCACAGCCACACTGATGTATGTGTGCATAATGAGCTTTTCTGTAACGGGATACTTCTGTTAGCCTTCAAGACATGGAGATGCATGACCTAATACGACTCAGAATAGAGGTGCGCTGTTTGATTTTTCTGATCGTGCCTATTCACATTATACACCTGCTGGTCGAATCCTGATTCTGCCAAGATGTGCAATTGAGTTGGAAAATGTGATTAGCTAATTACTGAACCACATGGACGCTTTTAAGTTCTCATGTGCTGTGTTTGTTTAGGAAATTGTTTGTGATGTGTTATGCTTTCACAAACAAGCTTTTTATCAGTTCAGCATGTTTCTATAATGATGTGTGATGAGTTTTTAAGCAAAACCCGCAACAACACAGTGTTTTTTTTTAGAATCATTGATGTACTATAATAGTTTTTATTAATATTTTGAATTAGTTTTTTATTTTTAGATTGTTTTAAATTTACATAAAATTGTAGTAATTTTGTTTTGTGCTTTTGACAGTTTTTATTATTTTTATTTTTTTTAAGTTTTCATCTTTTCTTCTTCTTTTTCTTCTTTTAGTTAGTTATTTTAGTACATCAAGTTAAACTAAATGAAAATTTAAAAATGGGAAAGCAGCTGAAAAAAGTTTAATGATAGTTGTACTATAAAATTTAGTTAGTTTAGTACATCAAGTTAAACTAAATGAAAATGAGAAATGCTGCCTTGGAAACTTGCTTAAAGGAGACATATTATGCCCCTTTTTTACAATATGTAATATAAGTCTCTGGTGTCCCCAGAATGTGTCTGTGAAGTTTCAGCTCAAAATACTCCACAGATCATTTATTATATCATTTTGAAAATGCCTATTTTGAGTGGAAACAGAAACGCGCTGTTTTTCGGGCGTGTCTCTTTAAATGCAAATAAGCTGCTGCTCCCCGCCCCCTTTTCCAGAATAGAGCTGTGCCATTACAGCTTGTACCTGCTAAAAACATCTGTTTTGGTTCTGATTATCATGTTTATCACGCTGAAATCATGCGTTTTAAACCATATGAGTTTAAACTTCTGATATACGGTTTTCTGAGCGCACACATCCGAAGCACACGGACAGAAAGCGGCTGTCACAGCATGTGAGTACTAAACTAAGTTCTCATTCACACACAAGTTTACGTTAAAAACACACGAGTTACAAAAAAGATTTGGTTATGTCTGTGAAGGTAAACTGCTGGGAAATAAATTGCATGTTTATTTTAGATCTGTGTGGCAGCAGCAATTTACAGTAAATAACTCAATAAATCCACTGCTCTCTCGTCTCCTCTGAGGCTGCGACTCTTAATAGTGTTCTGTGCTCATCTGTGCAGTCAAAGACAGAACAGTTAGCATGTTTTGCTCAAACTTTCACCATGGCATTAGAGCTGGTACACCATTGTCGCTTGCGAAAACACAATGAAGGCACCGTGTAAACTTACAGATTAAGGGGCGGTAATATTATAATGAGATGCCTTTGACACGTCACCAAGGGAGCGAAATCAGATACGCTCGTTTTCTCAGACGCTTGCAGAAAAAAAGCTTCCCAAAACAAAGTTACTGGGTTAATCTTTTTCACGTTTCCTTGGTTGGTAGATGCACCAGGGACCTGATTATAGCACTTAAAACCTGGAAAAGTCAGATTTTCATGATATGTCACCTTTAATAAAATAAAATAAACTTTTATTTTCTATTTTATTTTATTTAAAGTTTTAGTTAACTATAATAAGTTGCAAAATTTGAGGTATTATTCAGGGTTGTCTAAGTGATCCAACTAACAGTTTTCAATAAAATTTTAGAAGGACAGACCTGAACCATCTCGCTCCATCCTAACAACTGCATAGCAATGCACAAGCAATCACTCAGAACACCTTAGCAACTGTATACAACGCCTTGGCAACCACTCACAACGTTATGGCTTTATTCTGGTGAAGTTTGCATGGGCAAACACAGTCATTGTAGAAATGTAAAGTCTGCTTAAAGTCTGCTTTTGCCATTACAGTCATTGTTGATTTTAGTAATGAGAAAAACTCTATAAATGTTCTTGCCACATAGTGTGCGACGTGGAGAGAGCAGGACCTTTGCTTTGGCTTCATGTAGGATGTGATGTGGCACTGAAAGCGAATGGAAAAGCAGCTTGTGATGTTTGGGAGTGGCTGCGCCATCACTGTGAAAGGTCCAGTGCAGTGAAATGAGGCTGTATGTGTGTTATTTTCAGATGTCTTTTGAAAATACTGAGAAATGAAACATTTATTCTGTCTAGAAACTCCCATGTGGTCCTTTATCGTCAATCCAGGTCTTCCACTAGTAATGCCAGCTGCCATGAGAGCCAGCAATGCTGCTGGATCCGGAGTCCAGATCATTCATTCATTCCATTTCATAATCAGCTCAACTGATATAGAATTCAGATACATGCAAATTACAAATATGAGTACAACGGAACAATTTTTTCCATTGATACAATTGTTGGGCCAAACGAAAAGCCTAGGACTGAACAATTAATCAAAATAAAATCGCTTTTTACTAGTGCTGTCAAACGATTAATCACGATCAAATCAGAACAGATCAGAAGCATCAAATTTTTGTACTTTAAAAAAGACCATTATTTTTAAGAATTATTTTTATTAGATACTGAATTTTACAGTAGTAGTACAGTAGTATTATTGCAATAATTATCCATTTTTAATGTTAATATTTTATTAAATACTTAATTTTTATTTACAGTACAATAGTATTATTGCGATAATATATTTATCATTGTAATATTTTTATTTTAATAATAATAATTATTATTATTATTATTATTATTGCCAGATTTATATAATCACTGTAGAATTGTATTGGCCAAAATATGCAACCTTACAAACAAGCAAAGCAAACCTGAATGTGCTTTACAAAATTGTGTTTTAATGTAATATTTATTAAAAAAAAATTGCAATCTGATTTTTTTCTTCCCCAAATTCAAATTCCATTCAGCCCTTGAATACTCCATTGACAACAGAACAAAATTACGAGGTATACTGCAAAAAATATGTTTTTAAGGCTCCTTGCAGTATTTATTTATTTGTTTGTTTATTTTTATTTTTTTTTGCTAAAATGAAATAAAATTATTTATTTTTATTACATACACATTTTTATTTTATAGTACATCATCATCATTACAATAATTATGTTATATAATTGTATTGGCCAAATTGTGTAGCTCTAAAAACAAGCACAGCTAATCTGAGCTCTTTTTTAAAAATTTGTTTATTATTCCATTAGTTTATTCCAAATAATTTAATAATTTAGTCATCAGTTTTTTCCCCAAATTACTCAGTCTTAAAATAGCCCATCAACAACAGATAGAAATGATTAACAGACCTGCTGGCAACCAAGCTACGCTGACTGTGCGACCCATTTGCAAGAATAACAGACCAAATAATCCTCCTTCAGCTGGGTAACACTAACCGAATAACCCAATGCCAGTGTGTTTGTGTGCTGTTTATGCCTTGAGTGCATCAAATATTTCAACCCACAAGTGTGCGTTTTCTGGCATTTAGCAGCTGTCTGATGAATTATCCTGAGAGAAGTGCATAAAAATAGCTCTTCCATGTTCATGTGGTAAAGGAAGCTGTTATATTATTCATTTGAGCTGGTGCATCTGGTTATGCAATCTTCATCCTCAACAGATGAATTCTCCCACAGATGCATCCTTTTCTTTAATAGGCCACGAGTTCCTGTGGCTCAACAACCCTATTATGTTGTGTTTTGCATGCACCTCTTTCTGTCTATAGTTGTCTGGACAGCAGCGTCTGCTACGATAGCGATGAAACCAATGCTCGTAGCATCTCCAGCCTCTCCAACCGCTCCTCTCCTCTCTCCTGGCGCCATGGACAGTCCAGTCCTCGTCTGCAAGCCGGCGACGCTCCTTCCTCAACGGGCAGCCGCTATGTGTCGGGCAGCAAGGCCTCGTCTCAGTACACCTCTCACACCATGCCTGCCCGCTGCTCCAGCCGGCTCAGCCACACGTCACGTAGCGAGTTCATCGAAGGCTTGGATGCCGGAGACAGCGACCTCAAGTCTGGTTACCTGAGTGATTCTGATGTACTATGCAAGAGCCTTAATGACGACGACGACGATGACGACAATCTGGCCAATGGGTGAGTGTCTGCATGTGTTGCTTTGCTAAATATCTCTAGCCTACTACTCTCTTAAAAATAAAGTTTCCAAAAGGAGGTTTTCGTTGCGATGCAATAGAAGAATGCTTTTGGATTCCTCAAAGAACCTTTCACTGAACAGTTCTTAAAAGAACCATTTTTTCTTATGGCGCTTTTCCGCTGCGTGGTACGACTCGACTCGGTACGGCTCAGTACGGCACGGCATGGTTCGGCTCGGCACGGTTTGCGTTTCCACTGCGGTTCATTACCGCTTTAGAGTGGGCAGGATTATTCACATGTCATTACAGTTGAGCCGCCTCTACTACCACGACTCCTAAAAAAAACTTTTTCATTCCACATCGCCCCATCAAGCTCTCGCTGGATCCGCTCCTCTGCTATCAACGAGAGGAACGTCTGTTCTTCCACAACAGACAACAAAACTTTTTGGTTGTTAAAAAAAGGTGCACTCGTTCAAAACAGTTGAGTTCGATGCTTCGCTGGCTGTGCTGATTTAAATCTAGAGGTTCTTTTGTGTTTGTGTCGCAAGTTCAGTGACGCAGGTAGTGACGATTCTCTCTGGCCAATCCGTGGTCAGCAGAGTTTACACGTCACGTTTTGGTAACGGTACTTGGAACCCCAACCGAAGTGGTACTAAAAAAAGTACCAGGTACTGTACCCAGTGGAAAACCCCCCAAAAGTGAACCGTACTGAGCCGTACCGTGCCGTACCATGCAATGGAAAAGCGCCATTAGTGTGAAAAACATCTAAAGAAGCTTTTTCCCCAATAAAGAACATTTTGTGCAGTGGAATGGTTCCATGGATGTTAAAGGTTCTTCATGGAACCATCAATGTCAATAAAGTAGCTGAATTTTTGAGAGTCTAAGAACCATTTTGTGTTCCAAAAGAACTTTTTAGTGAACAGTTCTAAAAGAAGCATTTGTTCCTCAATTTTGAAAAAACTTTTCCCACTATAAAGATTTTGTGCAGTCGAATGGTTCCATGGATTTGAAAGGTTCTTCATGGAACCATTGATGCCAATAAAGAACCATAATTTTTGAGAGTGAACCATTTTTGGTTTTCAGTAAAATGTGCTTAAAAGAACCATTTTTTCTTCAATTTTGAAGAACGTTTTAATAATCTAAATAATCTTTTCCTACTATAAATAACTTTTTGTGCAGTGGAATGGTTCCATGGGTGTTAAAGATTCGTCATGGAACCATTGATGCTAATATAGGACCTTTATTTTTGGTTTTCAGTAAAAGGTTCTTAAAATATTTTTTTTCTTAGTTTAAAGAACAATTTAAACATCTAAAGAACCTTTTCCATTATAAAGAAACTTGAAATGTTCCATGGATGTTAGAGGTTCTCTATGGAACCATCAGTGCCAGTGAAGAACCTTTATTTGTAAGAGTGAACTGGAAGGCTTTATTCATAATGTGTTAATAATGTCATGAATGGGACCAGGAGACGCAGTGTGACTGTTATCCTGCCATGTAAGTACACTAGATTAAAAAGTCAACAGTGCATCAAAGAGGGGTCATGCTAATTATCCACGTTACCAGAGAGGCCTGCAGAGATGCCCTCCTCCTGGCACAGCTTCATAGCATTACTACAGGATCCTCAGACATTTAAAAAGGATGGTCTAAAATGTATAAAACGTATGTAGTTGGGGCTCAATGCATAATATTTTCATTGCTTTGGATGTTTGCTGCAGCTGTGAAATCTGCATAGACTACTAGGTTTGGGGTTAGTAAGATGTTTTTAATGTTTTTGACTGAAGTCTCTAATGCTCACCAAGGCTGCATTTATTTGATTAAAAATACAGTAAAAAAGTAATATTGTGAAATATTATTACAGTTTTAAATAACTGTTTTCAATGTGAATATATTTAAAAATGTAATTTAGTCCTGTGATCAAATCTGAATTTTCTGCATCATTACTCCAGTCTTCAGTGTCACATGATCCTTCAGAAATCATTCTAATATGCTGATTTGCTGCTCAAGAAACATTTCTGATCTTTATCAATGTTGAAAACAGTTGTGCTGCCCAATACTTTTGTGGAAACTGACTTTTTTTTTTGATTCTTTGATGAATAGAAAGCTCAAAAGAACAGCATTTATTTCAAAACATAAATATTTTGTAACATTATGTCTTTACTGTCACTTTTGGTCAGTTTAATGCATCCTTAATAAAAGTATCAATTCCTTTAAAAAAAAATCTTCTAACCCTAAACTTTTAAACAACAGTGTATGTTGACTGTCACTCTTGGTTCAGTTCAGTGATATTGATTATTAAGTGTGGGAGATTGTGGGATTGACAGTGGAGGAGGTGTTGTGAGCATCAAAAAAGAGAAATTCTCAGCTTTATTCAAACGAGAAACAAAAAAACATGTTACTTCAAGAGAAGGAACATTGGTTGTATCCTACAGTACTGTATGTATAAATATCATAAATACACGGTTGTGATCTTGATCGTGCTCATGCATCATATTTTGTGAGAAAGTTTGACTACTAGAGTGACACAGTTTTTTAAATCAGCATCCCAAAATGATAAAGATTTCATTCATTCATGGTATTATACTGTAGATCAAAGTACATGTTGACATCTTCACTTCCCCTTTTGAATTGTCTCCAAAGCCAGACTTTTTCTGTGTAGCTATAGCAGCAAACCTGCAGCGTTTCAATGCACCCAGTCACCATCCGTGTCCTTTTGCAAGGTCGAGCCATCTGCCAGGTCTCAGATTATTCATGTAACTCAATGATTTCTTTGTAATTTGCATGCCACAATGACCTTGTGTTCCTCTTGGACTCGGTCAGCATGCAGCAGCGGGAGTCTGATAGCAGGTGTCTGATCTGAACTCAGTCACCTCCAGATTTGAGGATGATAGCCACTCCTTTTCTGGCCTTGATTGTCTTTCTAATTCCTCTTTTTCAGCAGAGAGTTTGAAGTTATCCAGGCCAGTTCTCCTGGGCGTGAATCTGGGCTTTATCTGGGAGGCTCATGCGGAGGGATTTAGCGAGTGCCGCATGATGGTGGGGTGATCAAACCCAGCCCTCGTTCTCATTTTCTACTGACGCTTCAATGCAGTGAGAAGAAAGAGTGAGAGAAACTTACATAAGAGAGAACAGCCCTCAACAATACAGATCATCAGAGAGCTTTGGGTCAATTTAAGGAGCTGTGGCTTGCATTATTGGGCCAGATTTATCCCTCCTGTTGTGCTGGAGTCAATTTGACCCACACTTCATTTTCAAACTGCTCGAAATACTGGTTAAACAGTTTATTTCTTCTTGAAATTTTGAGGGTATTTTCCATTTAGGAAATGTGCATCATGAATGTGCATGCAAAGCCTCGACACATGGATGTGTTTTGGATAGGCAGTACAAATGTTATGACTTGTGTGTTGGAGTCATATTGACCCCTATTGTTTTTAATACAATTTGCCCAAAATCAACACTGAAAAACACTAAAGAGTCAGGTAAAAAACTAAAACTTTTACTAAACTTGTCAAACACTAAAATATACAATACAATATGAAATTTAAGACTCATAGTATAAAAATATAACAAAACAAAATAGAAATAACAAAATAGAAAGTGGTTTTCTGTTTTCACGTTAATCCTAATTTTTTCCAGAAATTTTTATTTTTTATTTATTTTTTGCAAATTGCATGGAAAAGTCCATTTGACCTGACATTTTTAACATTTAAATATATAAAAATAAAGTTTATGTTGGGACTATATGAATCATTTTTGATGCATTAATCAAAATCTTTTTTTTTTATCTTTCTTTCTTTTTTTCTTTTTCAGTCTAGAAGTATCAGTTGCATTGTAACTGTGAGTGAGTCAGTCAGTGAGTGAGTCAGTCAGTGAGTGAGTCAGTGAGTCAGTGAGTCAGTCAGTGAGTGAGTCAGTGAGTGAGTCAGTGAGTGAGTCAGTCAGTGAGTGAGTGAGTGCGTGAGTGAGTGAGTCAGTGAGTGAGTGAGTGAGTCAGTGAGTGAGTGAGTGAGTGAGTGAGTGAGTGAGTGAGTGAGTGAGTGAGTGAGCCAGTGAGTCAGTGAGTGAGTGTGAGTGAGTGAGAGTGTGTGCGTGTGTGAGTGTATGAGTGAGTGAGTGAGTGTGTGAGTGAGTGTGAGTGTGTGCGTGTGTG